TGGTGATGATGATAATGGTGATAGTGGTGATGGTGATGATGCTGATGGTGATGATGGTGCTAACAGTGAAGGTGGTGGTGATGGTGATGGTGGTGACTGATGATTATACATGTTCTATGGTGGTCTGGATACCTAGATTGAATGTCTGATTGCCTCTTGTGTGTTTTTAAAAATATTTTGTTGTGAATTATGTGATGGTTTACATGGGAGAACATTAGCTTTACATTCATCCTATCGTATATCGTTTCATTGCCATGGTTACAATCTCCTCCATGCATCATCAACCAACCCACAAGAATGCCCCTTGGTCGTCAGCACACAGCCCCTCTCCCTCTCTGGGTCTAGAGTCCTCAGCCGCTCCATTTCTTCATGTCATTGTTTCTGCCTCCTTCCCCAGCACCACTGTTTCTCTGGGTGGGGTCCCACTCTCCACTCTTCTCCCTTGATGGTCCCAGGGACCTCCGCTCCTGGACTGCAAAGTCAGCCACTCCCCTCCTTTTGCTACAAAACGTCTACCTTTATATTTCCAACCCTCACAGTCAGTCCTGATAGCAATTATTCACTATTGTATCACAAGACTGCTATCTCCATCTCCTTTCATCAGCCCCACCCAGACAGATGGGATACTACACAGTGGAGATTCTACCTTCCTCTGCACCCTCTGGATATAGGCTCCCTCTTGAAAGCTTGTAAGCCAGTCACTTCTTGCCTTTGTAGCCCCACCCATTTTGGGTAGCCAATGTCCACATTGCCCATCCCTGTCTACCCTCTGTATCGTGCCTCTTGTGTTTTGAAGGTCCATGATGAACTCAGTCACTCCCAGAGGTTGCCTTGATTGTGGCTAAAATCCCACCGTTAGGGGGTTGTTCACTAGAACCCCTGGGGGCAGGTTCCTAATCATCAGTTGACCTTGTTGGCTTACCTCTAAAGTGGGGTGACTTCTGGTGCCCACCCTGGAGGCTGCCTGTAACAGTAAGGAGCCGCTGCCGTACATGACTCCTGGTTCATGTGTAGTTGCTCACTCAATGCCGAGGGAACGAGGGGGTGGACACGTGGCTGGTCACCATGAGCTTCCTTTCCAGTGCTTTAGGGGTTTTGCTATTGAAGAGAAGAAATCCTCACAAGCCTCTGACCTCATATTCCCTCATAGTTGCTGTGAAGTGCTGTCACGTCAGTTCTGACTCATAGCAACCCTGTACAGGGTTTCCAGGGAGCAGCTGGTGGGTTCAAACTGCCGACCTTGTGGTTCACACTCCAGTGTATATCCGACAGTGCCACACCAACTTCCATCATAGACTTTCCTGTTAGGACCGTGACCCGTCTTTTTTCCCATCTTCTAAATGTTTATCTTCTTAATGTTGTCTCAGTGTAACGTTATCTGTTCCAGGCTGAGAGGAACTTCAGGAAGGCATGCTCATTGCCCAGTGTGTCAATTATACAGTAATTAACAGATGCGTAGAATGTGTAACAGACACTCATAAATCCCCCAGGCTGCGTCAGAAAAATCTGCTACCAGGTAAATGCATCTGGTGTAATTGCTGAGCTGGTTCTCGCTGACCTCTTCAGGAGTGACCTGCCTTGGTATTAGCTATTCCCCTAGATTAATGAATGCTCTGACCACATTTGTATGCGTCCATCAGGGTATAAAGCCAGACCAGACCTGTGGCCTTCAGGTCGAGGCCAACTCATGGAGAACCAAGAGTTACACAGTAGATCTACTCTCGAGGACTTTCTTGACCGTCATCTTTTCAGAGCCAGATAGCCAGGGTTTTCTCCTTTAGTTGTTAAGACATAGTATTGTTAGTTGTCAAGATATGGCATTGTTTTGTGTGTTCTGAAACTATATACAAACAGTGACATGTTGTTTGTTTTCTTCAAATTTTTGTTTCTCTCGAACTTAAGTTTGTGAGATTTATTCATGTGAATATGGGCACATCAGTGCTCTTGCACTGAGTGTCTTCAAGTCTACTGGACAGATGAGTTAGGTGGATTTATGTTTTGCTGCACAATGCAGCTCTGACTATCCTGTACAAGGGTTTGACATGTGCTGAGGAGGCTGTGGGGTGGGCTTTCTGTGTAATGGGCCATGTGTGTCTTCGCTTTCACCATGGTTAGCTGCTGATGAGGCAGCTCAGAGGCACGGCAACAGAATGAGCCACCTTCTTCATGATCGTGGGTGTGTTTGCTTCCATCGTGGTGCCCACTGTGCCCATCCGTCTCATGGAGGATGGACTTCACATTTGCTGACTCTCTCTTTATTAGACATGATGTTCTTGTCTAGCCCTTGGTCTTTACTGCTATGTGTGTCCTAAGCAGATGAGCCAAAGTGTCGCCATCCTCTCTTCTCAGGAGCATTCTGGCGGTATTTCTTCTAAGACTGGTTTAGTCTTCTGGCAGTCATGACATATTCAATATTTTTCACCAACACTACAGTTTTACCAGGTGATGCAAAAGTCTTCTCTAGAGGGGAGCTACCAATTTACTTTTCCATCAACAGGACAGGAGTGTTCCAAGTGTCATAATCTTTGGCAGCACTTGGTGGTGTTGGATTCTTAAGCCATTATGAGTCAAAGGGACTGGTCTCATTATGGTTTTAACTTACAATTCCCACACTATTAGTGTGGAGTGTGCGCGGGCACGCGCGCGCGCACACACACACACAGACACACACACAGTGTCTGTCTGTACATTTATCTATGTCCATTCATCCAGAGTCCTGATGTGATGCTGTAGGATAAACACTGGACTGCTAACCACAGGTCAGTGGTTCAAACCCACCAGCTGCTCCTTGGAAACTATACAGGGTCACTGTGAGTCAGAACTGACTTAATGACACCTAACACATTCATTTACTCTTCATCCCTCCCCTCTTCCATATGCCATTTGTACTGGTTTTCCTGTGATTTGCCTCTCTTCTATCTTTTGTCTTTCTCTCTCTTTTTGTCTTTTCTTTAATATATTTGTCTGTTCTGGATACTGAGCTTTTATAGATTATTGGTGCTGCAGAAATCGTCTAGTGTCTGAGTTGTCTTTCAGTTTTGTTTTTTTAATGTTGTCCTTTGATAATCAGAACTTTTAAAATTTAATATCTAAATTCATCACCCTTGTCTTCATGTTTTATGTCTTTGCCTCTTTTTTTAAAGAAATGTTTTATTGTGAATTATGTGA